GATTGTGATTGTTTGAATTACACTTAAAATTATTTGTTTTATTATGTTTTTTTAGCTATGCTGACCGCGCCAAGAACATCAAATGCAATGCTGTCATCAATGAGGATCCCAACAATAAGCTGGTGCGCGAACTGAAGGATGAAGTGGCCCGGCTGAAGGAACTGCTCCGTGCCCAGGGCCTGGGAGACATTCTGGACAGTGAGTTTTATGCTGTCTCAGCTGGTCGTATCTGCAGCCAGCGACCTTCTCTGTCAGGGCCCACCACAAACTGGCAACGTCTTCTATCTTCATTACTGTCTCGTTACTCTCAGCCATCTAACGTTTTCATCTCAGTGCTTGTACTTGTGGCTGGTACATCACTAAAAACAAAGAATGAAGCAGCTTTTAACAAGTTTACCTCAATAAAGGTTTATTATGCCTCAGTGCAGTCATGTGTAGAACGTCAAATATGTAGTATATTTAAGGTTGTATGTGTTTGACTGATTGTGTTTGACAACGCATGTAGTCACTCAAAACTGCACTAAAATATCATTTTGCTATATGCAGGAGTAATGGCTCATAGCCTTGTCAATTAGATACATAATATACCCATTAATGACTTCTAATAGCTGAAGTGATGAATAACCTGACTACTTGCTAATGCCTGCATAGATCACGCCTAATAGCGTAGCACTTAGCAAAACATATCGTGACGTTTCTTCTCAGCTTTGTTATTGTTTATCCAGCCCCCCCCCCAAAAAAAACAAACATAAAAAATACCTGTTCCTCCTATTCTACTGGTGCTGACCTCTGACCCTTCTCATCTTTTCCTGCTTCCCCTCAGTTGATCCTATGGGGGATGATTGTCCAGGAAGTGGAATCAAATGTGTGTATATGTGTGGTAGACTTGCACTGTATATCACTATTTGCCCTAATTATAGTAGCTAACATTGCTTATGAACCCCATTACCTGTATATTGAATCTGCTACCAGCTTTGCATGTAAGTGCCTTTGTTTTTTTTAAAAAAAGCAAAAGCTTAATAGAGTCCCAGAAATGCAAGGTTTCCATAGGTGTTCTTATAACTGGCAAGAGTAAGCATGGCAGTAGGTTAGCATGCTTTGCGCTTTATTGTTATTTTTTTGTTACGTTTTTCAGAATGACAGGGGGGGGAGGCAGCTACTTACAGGCTCAGATCCATTTTAGAGTAGCCCTTTAGTTTTCCCTGGCCTCAAAATGCAAATGCATCGTTTCATAATAATGTCTCACTACCTATGACTCGCACTCTTTAAGCTCATTTTAATCCCGGTTATTCGTTCTGCTTTTTATTTTGTTTTCTTTCACTAATCATCCCCAGCAGGTGACGGTGCCCAAAGCTTTAAAATGCCCCTTCTGAGTTCTCAAACTGAGGCTCAGAGCTACAGACGGAAAGGTGCTTAATTTTTGTATTTCTATATAGAGGCACCAGAGGTGTTTGTGTAAAGATTTGACTAACTTTGTGCACTTTAGTAGTTAGTAGAGTGACTAGTTTGCTAGTGTGCTTTCTGTTGTATTCTCAAGCATCCCTAACATCTTAACCTTAAAAATGTTTCTGCACCATCTGATGCGCAGGGCAAATAGTTAACTAGCTGCTATAGTTGGGTGTGTTTTTGGAGAAAAAAAGCCCATATCTCAAGAAAGTCATCATCCCCCAGAATATTTACCCTTTTCTAATATCACTTTGATTTAGTTTGGTCCTTAAAGAGCTCACTTGTGTGTTGCCTCAGAGGCCCTTGAGGTCATTATATTGACATGAGCTACCTGACCTTTGAGTGAGGCTGCTGTGGCTTTTGTTATGGCGGATGCTGTGTGCGTATGGCGCGTGTGCTGTGAATTAATCTAATCAACTCCAGGCTGAACTTTCTTTGCCAGCATGTGTCCACGTCTCTCCTCTGTCCTCCTGCTGGACCTTCTTGCAGTCTCCATCTCCCTCCCATCCTGTAGCCGATACTCGTGATAGCAGTTTTCACACAGTGTGTTCAC